TAGCAACCAAAGTGAGGGAGAGTTTGAAGGTTAGAGGTCACTTGCTTGGGCGTCGATTGGAAGGTAGACTGAGCCCGAAAATTGGTCGATTGAAGCTCCAAATACAACGGTCTGCTTTTTATTGTTTTTATATGGCACTTCAACATTTAGCCCCTGTTTGACCCAATTACTTTGCATTTTTTATGGTTGAAAATTTTTTGAATAGTGATTGATGAGAGAATGTGTGGTGAAAAAGTAATGAAAAGTTTTAGATTTGTGTGTAATATTATTTTATTTGATGAATGCGTGGTTGTAATGAAGAGAGAGAGAAATTTAATATAATGTAATGTAATTTAATGGAGGCCTGGGGTTTAAAATGTTATCACTCAAAAACCCAAGTTATTCTATTCTAAATAAAGAGTGGACCTCACTTCCAACTAAAATGATGGTAGGTATAAATTGTACTACATAGCGAGATTGTTTACCCTAATATTGATTGATTAATTATCACATCTTCTCAAAAGAGGCGCAACATTACGAGCTATTTGTAGAAGTAATGTAACTTCTATGCCACATATTAGTTGCAGACCCTCAAAAAATGCTGTTAGAAATGATATATTTCAGTTTAGTTAGTGTAGAATTAATTAAAATATTTTATTTACAGTGAGACCAGAAATTAATATTCTATGAAAAGTGAAAAGCACCAAAGACAGTGTGCATGCGGAAGACGAGAGAATCTGCCACTTTCAGGAAAAGGGAAGTTGTTAGAATGGACGGCTGTGAACATATATATATTTGACCCAATTATTATAGTATGATCATATGTACCTTTGTGCATTATTTAAAGAATTATTTAAAACATAAAGGTTTGACCGGATTCTTTCAGTTGCCAATCACGGACCCACGGAATCTGCCACTACAAGAATGGTGGCAATAGTTATTTTCTTGATGATCTAACAAGATCGAACATTTTTTAGAAGATTATGGAAGTTTAATCTATGTAACCCAATCAAAGTCCAATGATTATTGATGTCCTCTTGGTTGACCTCAGCAGCTTGGATTTCAAACAAAGGAATAGAAACTTGAGCTAGTGGTAGTGGGTTAGAAACTTCCAACATCGAGGGAGGATATACATATTTCAAGTGAGTCAAGAGGTTCAGAATGGGAGTAGATCAACTCCATCGAATCGACCTTATCCTCCTCAAACTCGCAAGTTGAGATTGAGCTGAACCGATCCTCGTGATACTAGTAAGGGCTGTCAACATCGAAGAAAGAAGACATGGTACATCGGCTTTGTCTAGTAATGAAAGACCACTTAAGTTTTTATACATATATCTTTGAAATCTTGCAACAATTATATCTTTTGACAATTTCCGATATTATGTAGTATTTGTTGATTATTTTTTTGAAAATACACGTGATTTTACACATTATAGTTAAAATCATATTTTCAACCTTGCATTATCACACTTTATTCGGATGGGGTGATGAATATCAAGGTCTTCTTCGCCCCACATCTGGGAAAAATGTCTCATTCAACATCTCGTTTATACCAACCTCACACTCATACACCAAGCCTTACTTCTCCTAAAACACTAGTAAGTTGCCTTTCAAACTGTCACCTATCTTATTAATTGTATTCATATTTCCAATGTATATTGGCATTTTTGCTTAGTCTAAAAGTCATCAAAATTATTTTTGATTAAAGTTTCAACTCCAAACATATTTGAAAATTTCGCTTTCAAAAATATAAAGTTTTTTAAAAATACTTCTCACTTTATTGTCACTTTATTGTCAAAATAAGTAATTAACTTATTTTTATAGATAAAAATAACTATTTATTTTTAAAAAGTATTTTTACTTTTAAAGTAAACTTATTAAAGCTAGCCAAACTTGATTGCCTGAAACATAACAACAACAAAATTAGTATGCCGTATGCTAATCGATCAATGCTAATTTGCTTACAACATTATTGACATTTTCTAAATTCTAGCCCGTCCTAAACTCGCCTTAGGTACTAATAAATAGACACTCAATCCTGTCGAAAGACATCACGACCCCTTGTTGAAAAAAATGATTTTCTAAGACGGTAAAAAAAAAAAAATGGATATCAATCTAGCTCCGACCTTGTACTCCTCATGTGTCTTTTTCTGACTTTTGATTACTTTCGGACTCACTACTTTGGAAGGTCCATAACTTTGTCCTAACTTCATAAATGTATCTAAAAGCGACCTCAACATATTCTCTCGTGCTTGGATAGAAAGTTGGTGCCTCCGCTCTCACCTAAGTCGCTCCTCCCGCATTCATTGTAGAATGTGAAACAAGCTCTTTATTGTCCCTTTCCATATTCAATTCATAAGGCAAAAAAAGTCTTATTTTGAAATTTTCAGAATAATCAGTATTTGTATTTTAAAAATCTAAAATAGGGCGAACCTCTAGGGTCTGGGGAATGTTGTTTGTAAAATAATAATAATCTAAAATAGTATGTGGGACTTTACATTTGACACAAATATTAGTCAAATGAAACAAATGATGATCACAGCCCTCCATTCCAATTGAAAAGGTGATTAATATATAATGCCTGGTTAGCTCCCGAGTTGGGGAAGTACAACTTCCACTAACTTGGAAAGTGAAAGAGAACATATATTTTAAAGCTTGTTTGAGCCATTTTTTTGGGGTATAAAATGCATTTTGAAATAGTAGATTGATAAAAAATGTGTGGTTAAAAAATAAGGAAAAAAAATTGAATTTACATGGAATATTATTTTATTGAAGAATGTGTAGTTGAAAAGAAGAGAGTGACATATGTATTTTAAAAAAAATGGGGATCAAACAAGGGCTTAATCTTCCATTGAATAAAAACCAATCAGATTCTTTCTGTGCTAGGCTGTAGTGCGCGATCGTGCTTAATTAATAAATAATTTATTGTCTAGTTAAAGGGGGTGGTTTCTTAGTGAACAAAAATCTTCCCTTTGCCTTTTCAATCGTAATGGTCCTCGATTTTCTATATAGTTTTATTGCTGGAGTTTACAGTTGATCAGAGTATAGGAGAAAATGAACTAGACCAGTAGCTTCGTTTGTTATTGCTCAGCTTAATATTGCATGTTTGGAAATAATTTATGAATGGATTAATTTACAAACAAATAAAAATAAATTATTAAAAATAAAGATTGACGAATGAAGGCTAAAAGGTTAAATACATAAGTAGTCGAAAAAAAGCAAAAGGAATTAATCTCTAACTTCAGAACTTATAGCTGAAATCAATTATAGCCCCTGTTTGAAAGTTGGAAATATAATTTTCATTTTCCCTTCCCATTTACCCCCTTGTTTATGGTTTAGATAAAAATAAATAAAATAAATTTTTAGTAGATTTTAATAAAAATTGATGGAATGTGTTGTTGAAAAACTGTAAGTCTCATGAAATTTTAATCACTCCTTTTTCTCTGGAAAAACAACTATTCCTTAATTATTCTTTTTATTATAGAAGGCATTGAGGATGCGAAGACTTGTGATTAAAATTAGGGTGAGAAACCGTGGTAATAAGGACGTGCATGTGCTTCTCACAGATTCAATATGATATCAAAATTTTGAAGATTTAAACAAGCAATTCAGATTGAACGTTGTTCATATATTTGACAATTTAAATACAAAGGAAATATACATACATATTTGGCATACAAATTGAATTCTAATCATATATATGTAATCAATAGAAAAAGGATCTATACGAATAAGATCAGATCTAGTCAAACTATGAGTAGTTGGTGGAATAGAAAAGAAATGTATATGCTCGAGAAAGACCACATGACGAGATACATAAAGTTTTTGAGTTATTGGATC